ATCATTTCATATATGGAAGTCCTCACAGAAGAGGTATCCCCAGGGGGATAGATTTTCAGGATTAATTTTCTTCACATGAAAACAGTGTAGTTAATGTGTGATAGAATTATTTCGAATGAATTGTTTTTTTTGCTCCTTGCTCCCAACATATCTCAATGTTCAGGCTCCCGGCGAGATGCCCCAAATTGTGTCTTAGAAGAATGCTCATGTTCAAATGAACAACTCAATGCCTTGGGTATTAAAATGTCAATTGTGAGTCTAAAAAGACAATGGTGTGACTTTATTTGACTCAAAGAAAGGTATGGGTGTATCAAAAAGATAAAGACAATGTTCAAGAATTTCAAAGGGAAGGTATGTCAAAATTTGGTATTTTTAGTAATGATCAAGGTATTTCATTTTGGGGTTTGAGACATGATAAGAAAGGTCTAATCTTGTCATATGTCAAAAATCTATAATTCTTGAAGAATTAAAAGAATCCTTAATTCATTTAATATTCGAAGAACTAAAGATTAAAATTTGTTCAATTGCTCTACCTTAGAAAGTAGCATAAATTCAATCATTTAACAGATTAAGCGAAAGATCAAAGACGTGTTCAAACAAAACAATCCTCTAAGTGCAAATGGTATATGCCATGCCCCCTTCTTCGGCAAGCGCCTTACAGGTTTCAGAGGAATGTTTGGTGCTTCGTACGTGGTAACAGCTAGCAGCTTCAGCATCGTGGCCCTAAGGATATGGGGATTCTTTTCTTAGATCATCCTGGCAAGCTTTGTCCTACAATCAGCTGATCAGGCTCCTACTATTACAATCTTGCTTCCATGTGGTTAAATTCGCTTCATCGAGCCCTTCACGACTTAATTTCATGTTTGTGAAAATGCTTAAAATGTAGATGAAAATGCAAAAAGGCGAAAATGCAAAATGCAAGAATGCATGAAATGTTCGAGGCATTGATCCAGAAAAGTGTCCATTATCATAAATAATCCTTATTCAGACAAAAATGTTTTATCTTGTAAGAGACATAAAAACAATAAAAGGTATGTTCGGACTAAATCTTCTAGACATCCATCCGAGATACTTTCTTCCATGACTCGACTGCTTCTTTGATCATCTTCTTATAACTGTCATCGTGATACATAAACTCTGATATAGATAATCCATATGTTGCTGGGACAAACTGATGTGCCCCATACTGTCTAAGTGCCAACAACGGAGTATACCCAACTGCACCTCAAAGTCCAAATAGGGTCATAGTATCAGAATTCCCATACTTGAAAAGAACATCACTGAGGAACAACCAGGGGGCTCTCCAGGTAATATCCCGGTCATGTAGATGAGTGAAGACTTTCATCCATTTCTCTTTTGAAGCGCCTTCATATCCTGTCATGGTGATGAACTCTCTCAAAGGTGAATACGTAGTGTTAAATTTACAGTAGGCAACCCCATTAGTCTTCTAGAAGTGGATGTGAATCCAGACTTGAAGGAACTGAACACATCCAATGAATCTACCTCCGCCAGCTCTTCGGCAATGGTTGAGAGACCAAAAGGTCTCGGCTGAGATGGTCGGTGTTTCGGAAGTTGCTCAAACAGTTTCACCACGGCTGCGTCAATGCATCCTAAAACCTTCAGAAAGATGATCAAGCCATACAGACCTAGTGCAAAAAGGTCTATAGTCTTGCCCGTTACCTTTGTTTCGGAGTCGGTCAGTCACCCATTTTTCATCAACTCCTGCAATCTTAGCCAGTCCGTTCTTGAAAGGCTGACTCTTGATGTGTTTGATGTAGGCTCGCTCCAGTTTAATGCTTTCACAGTGCAATAGTGTAGTATACTCCTCGATGGTAGGTACCATGTCCTCCTGGTTAAAAGTGAAGCAACTGTATCCCAGGTTCCAAAATTGAACCAAGACTCTGATTAAGGGCTCATTGGTCTTAACATGAAGCAAAAGTGCAATGTCACCATACCGCTGATTGAACTTCTGTTTCCGATCATTCTTCCAACTATCTCATATGTCTCGAAGTTCTTGCACATTATTTTGTTTTAAACTGATAGAGGCGTAGCTAACTAGCTCTGACACATAGCTTCCTTGAAGACTATCTCCATTTTCCTTCTGAGTCTTCTCGGACCATAGTCGTACCTCGGGGTTTTTAATCTCTTGTATTACAACACCTTTGTCCATGGATTCAGATTATTCGAGTTTTAACAAACACGTTTTAGTGGATCAATGACCTCTTTTATGATGCAAGTGATGAAAATAAAATAAAATAAAATAAAATAAAATAAAATAAAGATGAAAAGAGTTAGTGAGGTGAAAAAATAATAAAAAAAGATCATAAAAATGAAAGTCCTACCCCACATGATATCTACCCCACATGATTATTATTCCTACCCGGACATGATCTCTATCCCGCATACTACTTTCAAACAAATCCTAACCGCATATTTGTCTAGTTCACATGCTTTGAACAGAAACTAAAGCAGGAAACAAAGCAGCCTAGGGTTTGGAATGAGATTTTGGGGTGGGCTCTAATTCTCCATGGTCTCCCGGTTTAGGTGCTAAAAAATGGTACCCGAGTTCTCCTTGCTGGTGCCCCCTTGGGCTTGCCAGACCCTTAGTCCTAAACCCATTACAGGCTTGTGTGGACTAAGTTAAACTCGAGAGGAAACATTCCCTTATGCCCATACGGAGAATAAATTCACACGAAGGCATAAGGTATATGAATCCCGAAGGTTACTTGCTAGGCCCATACGGAGAATAAATTCACACGAAGGCGTCGCTTTCACCCCCACTTAAATAGGGTTCGGAGCTCGGGTATAGAGCCTTTAGATGAAAAATCTTTAAGGGCTGAAATCATTAAAAAACGGTCAGTACAACTATTTATTTCGAAAATATAATCAAAAGTAAGCAATAAGGATCGAAATGTTACCTTAAAATTTAAACTTACCCTTTTCGTTAAAAAGACAATTGGAAATTACCTTAGCCTGACTCACTTACATGTGTCCCCAGCGGAGTTGCCAAGCTGTCGCAACCGTCTTTCGGTTGGGCCCCGGAATTGGGCTTCGACTTGAAAAATGTGGATTGGAGTCGCCACCGATCATTTATTTAAAGATAAATGGGTTGATCGGATACCCTATTTCTTACATGATCTGCGTCTTACCAGAAATATGTCGGGCTCGGGAGTCGGTTACGGTCAAGGAAGGATTAGCACCCTTGAACCGCCCTTTCGGTACTACGTAATTTCCAGTTGTCTTAATTAAGAAAAATAACAAGTTAAATTAAAAGATAAAATAATGATCCAAAATTACTTACCTTTGATGGATTTACAAATATGCCCTTTAAAAGTCAAAATATGGGTTAGAAGAGATGAATAAATGATAAATAAAGTAAAACAAATAAAATAAGGAGATTAAGTAAGAAATAAAGTAAATATAAAATGAATAGAATATATAAAATAAAAAACAATAACACTAATATATGCACAACAATCAACTAAATAAAAATAAATGATAATACAAATAAATAAATAAAACAAGTAAAAGAATATAAAAACATAAAATATAGGATAAATATAAAATAGATAAATAAATGAGTAAAATATAAAAAAGTAAAAGCATATATATATATAAGTAAAATAATAATAATAAAAAAAGAAAATCAAAAGTAATATACGTATATACATGCAAAATAGGAAATATATATATATATATATATATATATATATAATAACACTAATAAAAAACATATATACATATATAATAAAATTAATAGAAAGTAATATGCATATATAACAAGAATAATAAAGTAGGAAAAAATGATTTAGGGGGGAGAATTAAATATTTTTAAAAAATGAACACGCCTCGGGGGTGGATCTAGGTTCGAAACTTCAAAATCCCACCCTTTTTTAGTCATCGGCGCAACCCACGTTTTGGGTTATTCGAACCAAATCTCAAGAAAAATAACGTGCACATGCGAGAAATGAACGAACTAATGTAAAAAAAAGATGCTACCTTTTATTTCCTTTTCGAATCGTTTACAATAACTTTGCCTTTGTATTTTCCGTGTTTTCCTATGTGTTTTGTGTGTAAATCCTCTGTCAATCGTGAGTTACAATGGCTATTTATAGTGCTTGTGGATCATATCTTTAGGAATTTAAATAATAGTAGAACTCTATCCTATTTTTAGGAGTTTGAATCCTAGCAAAATTTTATCCTATTTTTAGGAGTTTGAATCCTAAAATTCTATCCTATTTTTAGGAGTTTGAATCCTAGTAGGACGAAAAATGTGTGTTGACAATTTGGTTCTCAAAGCGGAACAAAAGTAATAGTTTAGGCACAAAACGTGTAATTTATCATTTTAAAAATTATATAAAGTTGATTCTTTTAATTGAATTTATTTTATATTAAATTATAAATTATAAATGTTATTTAAAAAATTAATTTTTTATCATCCAATTTTTGTTTTATTATTATTGTTGAAACGAGGGCATTGCAAATGTTGTACATTTTCCTACTTAATTAGGATCCTAATTGCCGAGTTCCCAATAATCCTACAAATTTACGTCTGAATACCATATTTTAGCCATTGTTGGTCAAGGTATTGGGTTAAAATGTGGGCATTTTCTTTCCTAATGTTTTGACGGGCAGGGATTGATCGAGGGAATTCCTAATATTTTCTATTAAAAATCTATTTTTTTTCTCTTATAATTTTATAAATTTATCAATTCCTAAAATTTTAAAATTTTGCCCCTAACATAAAATTCTCCCTATTCACGAGTCTTGACTGATGTTTGACTTCTTGGTATATCCTAAACACAAATTGAGCACTAGAGGTAGAGAAATGGCAGTAATTGAATGTAGTCGAAAAGATATGTGACTTATGTTAAACAAATATTTAGTGTAACAAATATATGTATTTAATATCATATTTTACTAAATAACTGTAAGAAATTATAAGTTAGTGGTGCAATCCAAACATACACAAAAGAAATAGTCTAAATATTCTGTAAATTCCAACTAAATAAATTACACAATATTCCCCCCAAAAAAAGAAAACACACAAAAACATTACAACTAATCTCTTCCAAATCAATTTGGTCCTTTTTGTGTTGATCCACTGGTAAATTTGCAGTCCCCGTGCTCTGCAAAAAAATAACATAACACATGATTACATAAAACTAAAATGATTATTCTCCACAATTAATCACTTTGATGGTGCATGTTAGCAACCCCAACTTACCACGTCATTAACATGCACCTTAAAATAGCTTTTAAGCACCGAAATATTTAATAAAAGAATATAAAGAGAGAAGGGTTTCATGCTAGAATACGCACTGGGTGGCTGAGTGACGACGTGGGCCGCCCCGCCAAAATCACAACTCCCCGTCTGCCGCCCTTTCTTTTGGTAATAGCTGTTGAACGCGAACGATGCATGGGCTTCAATGGTGTTAGGATTGTAGCACGTGGATCCCGGCTGGATCGCATGGCAATCAGCGCCTCCTTCCCCACATGCGTAATCTAGACCTACCTGCAGCTTCTCCTTCCCCGCTTCACCATTCGCAACGCACCACGTCTTCCCCGTCCTGCTCCGTCCTCCACCGCTGACGGGAGCGACCGGCGACCTCCTGTCCCGGTAGTCCTTCAACCCTTCTTCCGTGAAAGGGATATCATAAACTTTTTCCTTGCTCGGGTAAAACAGCCCGTAATTCCTTTCCGATGTAGGCCCAACCTTCTTGTTCTCGTTGAAAAGAGCAAACAGATAAACGGTGAGATCCGCCTTGGGTCTCAAAGGGGTCCCACCGCCGGACAAGATCCGACGGACCAGATTCCCATTATAAGCTGCGGCGTTTTGGATGCTCGCGCCGATTTCATTCTCGTCTCCCTTCGACGGCCAACCCGTCTCCGTCACCACCAAGTCAATATCATCAAATTTGAGAGCGGACATCGCCGCGAAAACGGCGTCGATTTGAGCATCGAAAAGACTAAAATACCTCAACCCGTTACCTGGATCCACCACACCCGGATTCTCCCTGAACAAAGCGTAGTCCAACGAGATGACGTCGGTGTTTGACTCGTAAGCGAAAAACGGGTAAGCATTGACCATAAGGAAAGACCCGGTTTCGCGGAGGAATTCAAGCATGGGCTTAAAAACGGACTCAACGAGTTCGGGTCGGAAAGATCCGGCGGAAGATGGGTAAGAATTATGGAGAGCGGAAAGAGCAATAGGGGAAGAGACTTTGATCTCCGAGTGAAGCATAAGCTTAACCAAAGCTTTGTGGACATTTTTCATGGCGGGTACGAGGAGCTTGGTGGTATTGTGAGGATCCACGAACACCTCGTTACCGACGGCAATGGCTTCGATTCGAGTGCGAGGGTAATAAGCGGCGACGTTCCGTTGAACCCATGAGGTTGCGAATGAAGCGCTTTTGGCCGCAGCGAAGAGCTGTTCGTTGGGAAGGTCGACGGTGACTTTGATTCTGGATCCGGATAAGGCACGGAGGACGGCCGGATCAGTGTCGTAAACTTTGACACGGTTTAGACCTTGGGATTCCAGTAGTGCCACGACTTTAGTTGCTGAAGGAAGATTGTTGGCTATTCTTCCATAGTTTACTCCAATCGAACCACAATCTGGAAAATGTCAAAAAAGAACGAATGTATGATCTTAAGAACAAAAACAATATTCAAAGAATGGGAAAAAAATACCCCAGAAAGTAGGTTACCTGCAAGAGTGAAAACAGCAGTGAATAAAAGCAAGAAAGAAAACAAAGAACAACCCATTGCTCTGCTCTACTTCTGATTGAACCGAAGCAATGAGAGTGATGAAGTGATGGGGTTTTCAATCTCTTCAAGGAAGGAGACGAGAGGCAGAGTCTACAGAGATCACGATCAGCCCACTCGGCTAATCAGGGACTATAAAAGAGCCAAAAGAACAATGGCCACGTGGCCCCACTTGTTTTCGACCGTTCTATATAATGGTACTTTTTGCTGCCCAAACTATATTAATAATATGGTCGGACATTGATTCCTGGAATTCTTGAACGTTGGACGTCAAAGCTAGGGCAAACTACACTCATGGTAACTAAACTTTTAGCAAACTTACATTTTGATCATCAAAATAAAAAAAAGTAGTTAAAGTCATCGTTGTTTGAAAAAAATTTCGGTTCGATCATTTGAACATAGTATGCTTATGTCAATGATAACTAGGTCAATAGGTCTACATATCATTTTCCTTAATAAATTAATACCTTCTAATAAGATAATGACATCGTCATCTTATTGGTGAAAATTAAGAATAAACAAAAGAGATCAGATTTAATCACTGGAAAAAATAATAAATTAGTTATGTTTTTACAAATAAGATTAAAATTTAATATTATGATTAATATTTTTTATAAAGTAAATAAAACTAATTTATCTATCACAATTTAATCTAAATATTATTTTTATAAAAACATAATATATTTTTTTGTTTAGTCCGGTGATTAGGTGTTGCATTTATTTCCCAAATGACTGAAATTTGATCTCCCTTCGAGCCATGTATTTTCTTTAATTTTCTACTAATAAAGATGGTAATTCTAATGAAAGAATTTCAATTCCAATGACTAAGGTGAAAATATTGTAAAAGTTTATTGACTATTTATGAAATTTACCCTAAAATCTAAAAATTGTTCATTTCTCGGAGTGAAACCAAATCTAAATATGTGAAAGTAGTAAAAAGTGTGCTAACGTTCATATTTAAAGGAATTCATGCTATTTTTAACGTTCATATTTTGATGAGCAGGATCACTTTTAGCTGTGTGTTTTTTTGGTCGACGTTGGGCAGAAGCTATCAACGTCTAGGAATTCATGCTAGTTTACTAGTCCAAATTGAATTTTAAATTAAAGAAAATTAAGATTAATACATAAGTAGTGAATTCATTAAATATTAAAAAAGTTAAAGAAATTTTTTATCCTCGTTTAGGGTTTATAGAAGTTTGTAAATATATTTAATTGTTATATTAAACGTGTCAATTATCCTTTAGAAATATTATATGAAATCTGAAATTATACTCTAGTAAAAATTAATTGTGGTTTGGTGTTAAAAATTTAATGATGTATTTTGAAGATACTAATATATTTGAATTATTTAAAGGATATAAATCTAATTATGTAAAAATATTCAAAATATTAAACGAGGTAGGTTTAAGTGGTAAATAATTTAATATCATTTAAACATATTCTAAGTCAAGACCTTAGATATGCAGAAAATTAATGGTTTTAATTAATTACTGGTGGGGTAGCACCTATAAGTGGACCTGGATCTATTAGGGGTGTGATCTGCGACTCAAACGATGAATGGATAGCTAGTTCTAGCAAGAACAACTTTGGGGCATGTGTGAGGGACGACTACTCATCGCATGGAACTATGGTATTAGGTGCCTCTAAAATTACTATTTTAGTGAGATTATTAATTTATCGAGTATTAATTTATAGAGATTTTATTGTATGTAAGATAGCTCCAAGAAAGACGGAGCCAATCCAGAGTACATAGCAACTGCCTAACACAGCTCCTCAGGCAATGAAAGAGATCAAATCAATGGTTCAATAAATAAAGCTTGGGATTCAAACCAGCCGACCATAGTTTGTATTAACTAAAAACATGTACATAATTTAATGATAAATAATTAGTTGGTTAAAATTTAGAATCTCACCGATGACAAGATATAACTGCACTATATACATCTTTTATTTTCTGTCCTCTAATGTAAACAGGCTTCTGCTCTTCTTTTTATTGTTGTCTACCATCACTCTGATTCATTGAAGAAGTTCTACCATCTTATGCCTCTTCCTTCCTGCTGTTATATAAATCTCACTTGAACTGGAACATATAAACTTTGTCAATTTCATTTTGTTTTTTAATAGCATGTAAGTACTCTCCATATACATGTAAGAACTTAAAAAAGAAAAAAAAACCGGTGTCGAATACATATCTATAAACAGCACTCGTATGCAAGTCCAAGTAACAGAGATATTAAGGTGAATTCTTACCTCGTCTACCGCTGTACCCGCCATGCACTGCTCTACCTTGGCATCTAGAAGTTTCAAAGCTTTTGTCAGCTCTTGATGCGTAACCTGCAAACTTCTCATTGACTGCCCCAAATCCTTGGCAACATTTAGAAGAAAAGTTTCAAGTTCCCCAATTTGATGAAGCATTTCCTTGAAATGAGAAGCCAATTGAGGGACTGACTCAATATTTTGCTGGATGGTTGGCTCCTGCTGATTGAACTGATTCGATTTCATTGAACACTCGGCAGAAGGTTCGCACTCGATCAACGGACTAGCCAAAGCATTAAAAGTATCATTCGCTGTCAGAAATATGGTATTATGATTAGATGACTCCATTGACACCAAAAGACTGAGGTCTTTCGGCAGATGCTTTCCAACTTCCTTCCATATCGGATTGTCTACACCATCTTGCATAGAAGCAAACGATCTTTTTCGGCTTGAAGTCCCTAAAGGAGCAACCAGCAGTTGAGTATCATGCCTGAGCACATTTTGTGATTCTTCATCAACTTCGGCATTTGAATAAGCATGAGGGATTATACTTGAACTTCCACTAACAGATATATTGGTATATTCAGAAACTAATATTGGATCAAACAAAGGTAGTTGGCCTGTTGAAAAAGTAAAAAACTAGAGTTTTAATTTATAACTAGTGGTTTTGATGAAACAATATAATTCATGTCTATAATCATACTTACAGCGGAAGAAATGCGGAAGTGGAGGATCTGCAAAGACCCGAGGAGGAGGGAAAGCAAGCCTTCCAACCCACCCATGAACACAGCGACCCATAACTTGAAGAGCTTTACCTGTCATCAAAACGGGAAACTTTTACATGATTGCAGAAGCAGATACAGTGAAAACAACGAATGAAGGATGAACAGCTGCAATGCATAACATCATAAAGCAACAACTGAAAACACACACACACAAAAAAGCACTGCCAATGATGCCTACATCCATTTGATGAATTCCCAGCAGCAGATATCTGATTCTGGAACTCTTTTTGACGGGAACGGATATCAGACCAAGACATTGGACTGGAAACACGGTGCCCTTTATCTACTGCAGAATTGCTTGTCTTGACTTCATGAATAACAATGTTTCTGTTAGAGGAACTGGGCACGGAACATTGATCCTCGCAACTCCTACTGTGTGGTGGCTCCCCATTCTGTGGACTCCATATTGATCGTCCTTTATCTATCTCCATAGACCTTGGCAATAAACTTGGAAGACTTTCGAACAGCAAGAAACCACAAGATCCATGCCCCTATGTAATAATCATTATTAGACTCCAGTGAACAGTTCCAGCAATTATCAATTGGAAATGCAAAATAATATGATAAAAACAGTTTACATTCCTAATATGCTGAATTGCTGATAAGAAAGAGCAACGAATATAATGGGAGAATCCATGGAGGATCAGCAGCATTATTCAAATAGATAAATATAACTAAAAATGCCATGCCTGAGCTTCTAAGCATTAATATTAATGTTCATTTATATGAATGAAAGTCATGGAGAATCTCGATTTAACAATCATCTGATTTCTTAAGATCAAAGCATGAGAGCCAAAAATCTTGTTCCAGAAATCCAAAATTCCATTCCCAAGCATATGACAGAACAATGAAGTTTAATTGTCGGTATAAATATAGGGGAAAGAGAAAAAAGTTCATCACCCAAGAACAAAAAAAAAAAAGCACTTAAATTTCTTCATTTCTAACAAAGAGAATAAGTTTAGTTGACATTCATCCTCGATGCCCAGATCTTCTGTCGGAGTTCTTCAAAATTAACCCAATTCTATTAAAAGAACTTCGAATCTAAAAAGAATGAAAATTTTAAACAGATCAAGCCCACCCAGTCTCCAAAATGGAGGGAAAGAACGAGAGAAATGAACATACCGTTCTGATACGGCAAGTATAGTACTTAACATAGTTCCCGTAGCTGTCTTCCTGGAAATTGATCGTGCAGGCTCCGGCGCCGCACCTGCAAAGAGGTGCCTTGACATCCTCGCACCATTTGTAAAAATTCCTTCCCGACCAGCTCCCCCTGTCAGGACCGCAGTCGCAGTTGCGAGCATAATACCTTCTGCCAAAACTGACGTCGCGGCGGGAAACACAAAGCGTGCAAGCGACGCCGCAATGGCAACGCAGCACGGGGAAGTGGTGGACGTCCGGCGGAGGAGTGGAGGGGTGAGACGGAGCATTCTTCGTTGGGGTAGTGGAAGGGCAATCTTGTGCCCAGTGACCTTGCTTCCCGCACCTAAAGCATTTGTCTTTGAGCTTTCTTTCAGATAGTCTTGATGATGGTGGAGGTGTGGATACTGTTACAATTGAGCTTAGACCCTGATCTCCTCCTCGGTCACGTCTTTCAGATTCAGCTGCCATTTTCAGTTTTAGATCATCTTCAAATTCAGCTGACGGTTTATAAAAGCCTCAAACTTATGTGAGAAGTAAAGTACCCAAACCAAACAGTGTATTTGGTATATGCATTATGTCCTTTAAAAAAAAAAGGCATATGCATTATTTTTGACAATTTTTTAGGATAATGCATAAAAAGAAGAATGGCTCAAGCAGGGTGGCGATGAAAATTTTATTCTTTTTTCAATTAGGGTGTTTGTTATACTATAAAGTAAACAAGAAGATGTGGGAAAATATTTAGAGTTTTTGAGAAAACATACAAATGATAAAACGTCGTCTTTCTTAACATCTTATTTACGAAACAAATTCTCAACATCCCATTTCAGTTATTTCTCCCAATTCTATTATTTAAGAAACAGATTAGTAAAACTCTGATGAAGTGATGGAAAGTGAATTAAATTATTATTTAAATTTTAAAATAAGTAATTGAAACATTCATAATGTTCAACTTTTATATTTTAATTATTTGAAAATCAGATTATTCTATTAATTAATTTTCATTCCCATTATAGTTTTTCTTTTCAATTTTACTTGAGACATTCATCATGTTTAACTTCTATATATCACAATAAAAGAAAAAGAAAAAAAACTTTCCCATGAACGAAGTTGTTTTCCAATTTACAAAAATCTAAACATAGGTTACGAAATCATATACATTAGCATATTACTGAACACTACAACAAACAGCATGAACCAAAGTCATAAAAAAATAACATTTATCATCTCTCGATAAAACATGATAAATTTCCAAACTTTTTTTTATTTTCACATAAATATACAAACCAACTTTACATAATATACATTCGCCAAAAGCTAAACATGGAGAATGAATACACAAAAGGAATAAAAGAATGAAATTATCTCTAAAAGTCAACCTATTCCTTTGTGTCCTATATAGATTACTATTTTGGTTTGTTTTTTTTTATTATGAACTGCCTGTTAAAAGATTTTTGCATCAATACTAGTAGATCAAACTGGACAAGAACAAGGATACATTCTTGCATAGTTCGAACTCAACGACAGAGTCGGAGGACTACAATTTCTACTATGGACTCTTCTCCTTACTCTTCACTGCAAAAATCTGTGATAAAAAAACACTACTTAAGATGTTACACCTACAAGAGGGTTTATTTCAGCTTAGCATTAGCATCAGTAGCAAGTAAAAGATTCATGCAATGTTACCATGACTCTTCATTTTTTTATTCCTTAAGTACCCATATCAAACATAATTGGACATAGGAATCAGACACTCGAGTCAAGGTAACATAGGGTTCATGTCAGCCATATGATGCAACTAGTATATGGAAATGAGAAGTACATACTAAATAAAGATCCTAAATAAAGATCAGCTATATACTTGCTTACTTGATATTGATTTCCGTGTGTTGATTTGCTTCGTCTAGGATCTGAGGTTTGTGATCCAGGGACTCCACCAAAGTGTCTTTGAATGACATCTTGTACGTGATTGTAAATGCTGTATATAACATAGAACCAACATGGTCATGTCAAGGACATAGACTTGAGCTTAGTTCAAACAGGATATGGTTAAAAAAAGAGACGCAAGTAGTAAGCCTTAAAAATGACATTATATAGAAAAGAATGGGTCCTTTTGCAGAAAATACAACAAGTCTCGAGTGTAATGATTGGATCGTTGCTTCGAGCTAGCAGGGTATTGAAAAGGAGTCAAAATTTTGTGAGCAATCAAAAGAGAATTATCCCAAATAACTCAGAAATGAATAGTGTGGAATGTTATATCATCACAATCATATGGTGAAATTAATCAGAGAATAATATATCCATATTGATATATAACCCATATGATATGGAACTCTAAAGTTTATTTGCTAATGACATGGGAAGATTGCAAAGCAATTTTTAGGGCGATAACAAATTTATTCTATGGTGGAAATTTGAAAAATTATATTTTCATTCTCATCATAATTGAACCCAAGGTATGTAATGAAGAACTAATGGTCATAAAAAGTATGGATGCGTGGGTGTATGTAATGGAGAACACTCCATCTAATGAGTTAAAGTAGGAATGATGAAAAACACCATCTCAGAAATGGATCGGTAATTGGAGGAAACTGGGCAATACTTCAAGCTTAATATCTAACAGCATAGCGTATGGAAGCAATTACCTCGTTCTCTAGTTAAATCTAAAAGTGAGGAAACTAATTATATGGTATAAATTAGATTGAGATAAATTAAAAAAATGTGATAACCTTAGGCGATGTCTATTGCAAGCTGTGAAGAAGGCAACAAATCCATTTAATATACTTCTGACAGCACGAAAAACCTGAAAAAAGAGAGAAAAATTAAGTATAATAAACATAAATTATTTATCAAGTTACGTAGATGTCTTCAAACCTGGGAAAAAAGGTCATTCCAGAGTGAACGCCATATGGAGACCTCGAATGTGCTTGTTACTGTAGCTTCAGAAGCTGAAGCAAGTCGAATTATGCTACTTAATGACCTCCATATACCTCCAACCAATTCAAAGATGAAGCCACATACAGAAACCACAATACTGGCTAAGAAAAGGAGCAGGCGTATCGGGGCATATAGTATTTCCCAAAGAACCCAAAATATAGGATAAAAGGCAGAAGTCACTGTGGTAGCATGAAATAAGAAGGAACAAAATTAATATATTAAATCCAAGCCCTTAAATAAGGAAATAGCTAACGGAACGATCTGATGACTTACCCATGTTCCAGAGAACTGAGCCAATAAACCACATAGGCATCAGTAGAACCTCTATGAGAGTCTCCACTAGACTGCATAGAGAACTAATCACAATCCATATGGCTGAAAATAAGCTTTCCAATAGTTCACTGAACATATTCCAAATTGGCAAAAGGAAGTCCCACAACCCCATAAATGGTTCTGCCAATGGCAAATAAAGAAAAGAGAAAAATGATCGAATAGCACTTGTAATCGTCAAAAACCACTCAACAGCCTTCTGAAAGTTATGTAGAAATAACATAGTTCCCAAGTACTTGATCCTTGACACCATCTCCCAGGTTTCTATCCAATGAAAAAGGGGCCCACATAAACGAGAAGCAGTTGCTTTAAGAACAGGGACATTTTTGTATAAATCATAAAATCCTATTAAAACAGTAATGATTGAAATCAAAACATATAAAGCTCTAGCGAGAGGACACATCCATGGGCGATAGATATGGCAGAAGCCAGGATATGATTGAAGGAAGATGACCCAAGATGGAAGACCCGCTTCTAGTAAACGAAGTAACCTCAGATCAGGCATTATTATTTGCTTTAATTTAAATGGGAGATCTCTATCATCAAATCTAAACAAAATAAGAACATCCTGATACTCTGTAGCTTCGACTGCGATTTCGTTAGAGTTGCCGAATAAGTTTCCGGCTAGCTCTCGGCGTTCCTCACAATAGACATCAACTTCACCTCCAATACTAATTGCCCTAGTTACTTTCCTTCGCTTATAAGGCCCAGTAGGAGGAGTGTGTGGCTCAAAAGTTTCGCAGTCCATGGTTGCAGGGTACACCCTGAAATTGCCACCATGATCATGGAGGAAGTTTTCCTCAATGCTGTAACTATCACAGATATATTCATCGCCATTCAAAGGGATCGACCTTGGAAAATCTTGTTCAGCATCAAAGAAGACATCTCCTAAAAATCATCCAGATTAAATACTATATCAGCACAGCAAATTTATTGTATTGACAGAGAGGAAATAGAGAGAAAATGGTTAGACTGCTAATGGTTTTCATTTGGTAAACAGAAAAATTGGCATGCAGTGGACATCATCTGGAATCTAACCACACTTTTTGAACAATATAAGTGACTTTACCACATGTAGAAGGATAACCACTCATTCAACAATATAAGTGAGATTAAAATATCCATATTGAACCAGCAAGTCCAACAGTAGAACTGGAAGCCAGAGGTCTAACTGGTTCAACTTCCGTTTTAGTTTCCCTAATATTGGTGCTAGGTCTACCCCTTGTATAACTCATAACAGCTAGGATTTTTGGGTATTAACAATATATTTTTGTGTTCAAAGGGAACAGGGCATAGTAAATGATAGGGAAGCTAATGAGAACGAATGAGTAAACTCTCTTTCACCTTGACAGCGAACAGAGAATGAAGTAGAGCAAAGAAGAGAAGTTATGAGCTAATATTACCGAAAACATAGAATTTGACTAGTCATAAAATTATCAAAATACACATTGAACAGTCTATCTTTATTGTAATTTTTAAATTATTTATAGACTTCAGACATAAAGTGACCAAGTATTCTTTACTATTAAGAACACTATAATGTTCTTGCGAACATGCATCTCTAGTTTGAAATTTCTAACTTCATAACAGGTAACCCAGTTCAACTCAAGAATCATAAAGAAATATTACGGAAAAACATACCAGTTGTCAAATTCAGGTATTCCATCAGACACCGCTGCTCCACTAATGTTCCAGAGAACCATGAAGATATACAATTTGCTGCTTGATCAATGCTGTCAAATTCCCATCTTCGCATGAATTTAGCCTCTATGGCTAGAGAGGTATCGGTCTGAAAATCAGAAGAAAAGTTCCGAACACGAAGACCTTGAGGGTGAACCAAAAACAAATATATAAATATATGTACTTATACTGAGCACATACAAGAACAAATACCTGAAGTTCATTCAAGTAGTTAAGACCTCGAACATTGGAACATGAAACTTCAAATACAATGAAGCCATACAATGTCTGATGCAGCTCACTGCTAAGAAGAGAAGAGGTTCTCAGCTTCTTAACAGGTAGCAAAATCCTCTTTTTAGACAACATTGCAGCATCAATCAAAGAGAACCATCTTTCAAACTTCTTGGCATCTTTAGCATTTGATTTGGAAGAAGCTTCTTTTCCATCCTTTCTTTCCCTACGACCTTTGGTGTTAGCAAATGGAGACAACCTGGACTGAAAAAGGTCAATAGATATAAGATTACTTAAATTCATTATAATCTTCTTACAACTAACCTTTTTTTAGGGAAAAAAAGAGTAGATACATTCAAAAGATTAAAAAACAAAAAGATGTTTTCAACAACCTTGGTAACCATCAATTGCCACAAGTGAGCTGGACGTGAATCTAAGTCCCTGAGCCATGGCCGGTTGTCCACCAAAATGTAGAGTTTATTACTTCCAAGGGACAAGAAAAGGCTAAGATCCGAAAGATAAGACTGCAAGTCGCTGCAATCAGACATTAGACAAAAAAAAAATCATATAATACCAAAAACTAAAAAAAAACTGGCAAATAGCTCTCTGATTCTGATATTTTCCCTAAAGCAGTTGTTAACCGACTTTTTTTTCTAATAATAAAAAACAAATTTCGAAAAAAGAGCATCGGAATATGATCTCAACATATAGGAAAAACTTGGGGAATTTTGGGGATAGGGGATATATATACCGTCTCCAGCATGCATCTGTATACGACACTCAATTCGAGTCCATGAACATAGTCAACTTACTGAAACCCTATTCAGGTTAAGCATACAGATAATAAAAGTAAAAAAATAAATAAAGAATACCCGATCTGGAGACTTGTTAGAGGAAAAACGGAGCGTCCTTCATCGTGTTTCCCCATCAAAATTAAGCTCTGTTTTGATTTCAAATTGCAGCGAACCACAGCTTAAGAATTATCATATACGATTTTTTAAAAATATCATTAATAGCCAAAATAAGCAACATTATTTAATATGTTAAGAAAGAGAGGGGAAATAGAGCTTGAAGAAAGGAATTCCATGAAAATGGAGGAGAGAAAAAGAAGGAAACAATGAAAGTCTTCTAACTTCATAACAAAAAAGAGAGAAATAACTTGAAAAAGGGCAAAAAGAAGATGAAATTGTTGTGTATTTAATGAAAGGAACTAAAATTGTTGACAGGGAAAGAATTTGGTTGGCTTGGAAAGCGTGATCAAGGAAGGAAGGCAAGATTCCACACCTTAACACCACGTCTAACACTATTATTTGATGTGAGCTATGGAGGAAACTGGAGAGATGGAGAAGGAGAAGGGTAAAACGGGAAATTATGGGAGGAGATTTGATCTGATGTGTGCTTCACGCGCCAGGAACTCGTTTTTTTTTTTTTTTTTGCCGTTTTATCCACAACTGAAGAGACGAGGTGAGGAAGATAAAAGAAAGATTGAAGAATTAAATACGACGGAGACCTATGATGTACTACGTGATTACCATCTTCAATTTTGGTTCTAGTTTTTATTTTATTAATAAAATAATTTTTATTTTTAATATTTTTAATTATTTAATAATAAATATTCAATCATCCTTATAATTGTTGCTTCTTAATTTTTGCTTCAATTTATATCTTAATTTTCTATACTTTGCATATAACTTAAACCAAATTAAATTATCAAACTAAATAAATCAATCTCATAATTTCTATCTTAATTTATCTTGTGATAACACCACTTTCGTCAATTTAAAATAAAATAAAGAGAACTAATTATAATAAAAATACTGAATAGATTTTACACCACTTTGGTTAATTTATTTTTATTTTTTAAATTATAAAATAGGTCGACAATTTTTTTTAATAGAATCGGTTCGTTTTAATAAAATAAATAAATATTCAAAACTATAATGAAAGTTTATAATCATAAATACGATCAAAATTATAGTAAAAGTTTTCAAACCTTTAGATTTATTGTGATTTTAGAAGGACTACAAAATAAAAGGTTAAAAAATACAATCAATAACTCGAATAAAAAGATATATACGAACATGTCTAATTGTATTGATAAATAAACCACAAAAAGGATTAAACTATTAAAAGATCATTGACAAACCACAAATCAGAGTCGAACAACGTGAGAAAACTATCAATGAACGAATATAGTGTATCTAAATCCAATTCAATCTAAGGGTCCAAAGCAAGAAATATCATCATGATAACAAATAAGCATCCTCTTGATTAGTTGAGGCGATTTCTAATCCAACTATGAGCAAAATATAAATAAAAAGAAACAACCAAACTACCGATAAAGAAGATAAAAAACAAGTCAAAAGATAAAAGAAATTATACTATAAAAGTAAAAGAAAAATATGTATTAAAGACAATTATTTAAAAAAATTAAAATATAACATAAAAAATAAAAAATACATACAAACAATGACCAATGCTAAGATTGGTGTCATCATCAATCAAACAAATATCAAAATAATAACTTTTGTTCACTCAATTATAATATATTTATTCACTTATAAATATTGCATGTGATCAGATATATTAATGTTATATTCTAAAAAATATATAGAATATATATTTTTTATAAATTCTAAATCTAATCTTAATAATGTTTAAAGAGAAGAATGAGGATTCTAAGGGAAGGAATAAGAGTACTCCGAATGGATCTAAAACCTATGACTTAAAGAAATGTGAAGAAATAAAGATGAACAGTTTAATCGAACGATCAAATATTATCAAATACATAAATTGTTACAAAATTATAATATTTATATATATATATAAATACCTTTTATAATATTTTACATATCTTATCTTAAATTAAAATCTACATACGCTTTTAGATTATAGGATCATGCATTGTGAATTGGGTGTTGTCGTTTTTGTCAAAAACGGAAGACAGCATCACGCACATATCATGGTCCATTAACGTTTATATGTCTATGTTCTTAACCAACGTGAGCATGTTATGTTGTCTATATAAAATATTTAGCCTCAAATTCTCTTACATCATTTTTTATCTGTACAGTCTCTAAATATACCCTAACAATATAATTTCTTTTTAACTTTTCGGTAATCAAAGAGACACTCGAATGATTACTTCTTTTATTGATTAGGCAATCTCATAATTTAATCTATCAACAGCTAAGCAGAATAAAAAGTAATATTATTTACTAAAACATATTTTTGAATTCTAAAGTTGAAAAAACTAAATATGAAAATAGAAAATATTTTCAGAAACTAAGTGGAGTTTAAAATTTCTTGTGACCGTCTCGAATAAGCTATCCTAAATTTGGGCAGATCCACAACCTAGTTTGGGGGATTAGACCCTTGCTTTGCTTTCGGCTTTTTATTTTTACTTTTTGGGGGTAACTTGTATTAGCCTACATATTATAACTTATAATAATTAATTGAAAAGAACAAACGGAGACATGGATTGGGTGGTGGCGATTATCATTTAAAATTTTTAATTTTCTATATATTTTAATTATTTTTTGTATTTTAGATTAAATATCTGTTTTAAAAATTATATAAGTTCAATTTCATTTAAAAAAAAAGTTAAATTCATCCGTTAATATAAATTTTTGCAAATGAAAGGATAAGTGAAATGATTCAGCAAAGGGAAAAGAGATATGAGTATCTGTCACAACTCACAAGGGAAAGTGAGTGATTGTTTTAGACGTAGGAACCGACCAAACTTCATCACAGAACCGGACAAATATATGGCATGCCATAGGCCCATCCATCCACGACAAAGGGCATTGCCCGATCTGCTAATGTATACAAAGTCTTTATGTTTGCGTTTCGGCTTTTAAATTAGTGCTTGTGTGTGAATTTGTGATTAAGAAGGATTATACCTCTTTAGGATGTTATTTGCAAAAGTTGCACCTTTTCTGTCATTTCTTTCTCTCTAGAGATTTATGGAGGAATTCTTTTCCTGATTGAAGCTTTTAAAGTTCCTAGAAGTCTTCAGAATTTCATATCCTCCAATAAACCACAATCTCTTAATATGATCATTAGTAAACTCACGTGATTTAGTAAAGCCAGCTCTATTATATTTCAATCATATCCATTTGCATTGTTAGTCAAATGATAGTCATCATGATTCTTGATTTTAGGACGAACGCATAATTTTATATTAGGTGACAAACTTTTAAAATTTTAGAAGAGGACGAACTTATAAAACTCTAGATGGTGAAAACACATTTTTCAATTTACATAGAAAAAAATCTAAAATATATAATAATTTTAAATTTTTAGAGGAGACAACTACCTCTACCCTCTCCTCTCGACCGATCTTATTAGGCCTAACACCGGTAGGTTAATATATAAGTCATCATGAATAGTTGGAGAGATCATGAAGTCTCTTTTCCCTCATGATTTAAATCTTTCCATATTTAACATATTCTTCATTATATATATATATAATTGTATAATACGTGAACAAATCTTATATATATATATATCACATGGACTACGTGTGAGCACAAAGTTCTTTTTAGGGTGGCTTGTCCCGTTTGTGTTGTCTCCGTTAATACGTATAGATACATTGTTTAGGACCACAGCTCAGATCTCGAATGAGAAATGAGAATGTTATAAAATAATAATTTTCCTCGATTTTTTAGTGTTTTATCTTAATTAATTCATATTGATATATATTATAAATTTGGTTTTATGAATGAGTCTCCTATCAATATTTTTTTATAAACATAAAACTTTAAATTTAATATATATTTAGACAATATCAAACTATTTATCAATTGAATCAAATATTTAACCTGCTTCGCAAAGGGGGAATTTGCAGACCACGAAATTTCAGTCTATCTAAATTTGATGAATTCCTGTTCACATGTTCCACAATATAAGCCAGCCAATAATAATAACAAGTACAAGCTTTATCTAAATCTTATCATTTTAAATATGACCATAAATTTAGCATGTATACTTGTGTAAATTAATTGATTTATTGCGTGCATGCCATATACGATTGAAATACACAAATTATGTCCTAAAATTTAATAATTCTTCATGTCGTATGAACAGTGACACGTTTAATATAGGTATTACTGTATTACATCCCTATTTAGTACTTTGATTCAATTACAAATGATGAAAAAAACATAGGAAATAAAATAATATAAGTTGAGTATTTGATTTATTGATATTATATAATTCTATACATTAATAGCGAATTAGATTATAACATACCGTTACAATATAAAGATTAAAAGAAGAAAAACAGTGAAGTTTACATAAATTTGTATATTTTAGGGGTCTTACTTAAGACTTAATATTTAGGAGTTTAGATTTTAGGGTTTAGGGTTTAGGGTTTAGAGTTTAAAGTCTGGCATTTAAGATTTTAAATTTTAAGGTGTAGGGATTAAGGTTTTAAATTTTAGGATTTAGGGTTAAAATATACATATTGTATAAAATAAAGTGTATCAAGTAATAACCTCTTGAAAGAATTTGGTTTTAAAAATTCACTATAATGTATAAAATAGATTATATGGTTTGTTCAAGTAGGAAGCAGTTTGATACCGTTTAAGTATGTCTCAAATTTGAGGCTTTGTATATGCATAAAATATCCACTGGAAGACTCACTCACCAAAATTAGGTATACGATACGGATCAGTCCAAATTAGTCAAGGCAAAATCTTGAGAAATCGGGAAAAAAATTGTACACCAATACATTATACATTAATTTATAATAAATAAAAAGGTGATGGATTAGATTTTGTTGTATCAAAATAGAAAACAAAAAGGGAGGTTAGATTTTGTTGTATGAAAGTAGAAAACAATATCTCAAAGATGGCTGATCCTTATCTACAAAATATTGCTTACCTGTCGTTCCTTTAAATTGTTTTAACGGTTCGTACTTAAAAATTAAGTGATATTTAAACAAAAGCTATGAGGACAACTTATTTTATAAATTTGTACATGTATATGTAATCCAGAAAGCAAACTTTAGGGTTCCTGTACTGCCCCCAACGATCTCCAATTTGTATGCAAGACAATAACCCAAAAGTTGGCGGAAATGCTTTGATATAATCTTACAATAATTGTGGATCAAAGGAACTTTACCATGTTCAAAATTATAATCAATTGTTTTAAAAATAAGATGAATGGAGCAGTAGGGCTGAAGATGACAACAAACCGTCGTAGAGACATACATAGTGAAAAAGCCCTAAAGAGAGAGAATTTGAGAATCCTCTTTATCAGTTGGTAATTTATATACTGACTCTTAGTGTTAGTGTCAGGTTTAGGGTGATGATAACTATTTGTATGTTGTCAGATACTAAATTATAAATCATGTGAGTCTGTCAGAAATCACGTCAAAAGGTTGCAACTGTTCGAATAACATACAGATGTTTCAGAGTGGAGACCAACCCTGGGAATTAAAAGGCTGAATTCAATTGATTATGGTAGAATGAAGTAAAAATGGCATGAAAGATATCTAGACATGGGATCTCTCAAAACTTTATAGTACAAACTACAATGATCAATCAATGCTAAACAACCAAATGGTCCACAGTTTAGGAACCCTACATGACATGACACCACCATACATGATGATCTTTAGAAATGCAAATTACGGTAACGAAGAGATAGGAATCAGATTCAGCCTAAAAACAAAGCAAATAAATAAATTTGTCCTTCTCTTATGTGTTTACACCAAGGGTTTCAATACCAATACGATACGATATCAACTTGCATGCTATTATCCTTTCAAGTTCTTGAAGTTGCATTAATTATTTTATAAAAACATCCAGATAGGTTAAAGATGGTATAAATTGTTGTATGTGTTATACCTTCGGTTCTTCTATGTAAATTACATTTTTTTTGTTTTGGTTTTCTATTTATTAAGGTTTTTCGAATATGTTATTCTTTAGACAATCCCTTGACATGATCGTTGATCAACTTACGTGATCTGTTAGAATAAAATCAGCTATATGATAATAACATCTACAAACCCTATCAGTTTATAAATAGTCAGCATGTAAGACCAACACTAAGGATCAATATATAAGTTAATGACAGGAGGAAGAGGCCTAAACTTTTTCTCTCCGTTAATCTCTCTCTCTGCATTCGTATATTATCTTCTTCATCTTGCTGAAATCACAATATGTGGTTTTCAACCTAAATTGGAAAAGGTTAACCGTCCACAACTGTCACAACCATAATTTTTTCATCAATAATATAATTAGTTAAAGTGTTAAACTTTGCTAAGTTATTTGTACGATATTTATCATGAAAATTCATTATTTTTTTCAATGATATTGTAATAGTATTTCAAAGTCGATTCTAATATCAAATATCACTATCCTGTAGGACAAGAGTGATAAAAACACTGGATACTCTGATCAAACTCTAATACGCAATCCTCATAGGAGCACCAAGACCACAGGATGATAATAACTCCAAAATGGCCGCATGGCACCAAAATTCAAAAGCTCATGCTAGCCAACTCTACACCACAAGTTGGGGTAAACTCAGAAATTACACCTACAGTGGGTACACAGGCCCTTATTATCAAGCATTCCCTACCCCCAATCATGCACCTCTTCCTTTTTGTTTACCCCTCATAATATATTCGGAGCTAAACAGCACCATTTCCATCACTCTCTCTCTCTCTCTCTCTCTCTCTCTCTCTCTCTCTCTCTCTCTCTTCTCTCTTCCATCTGTTGAAGTTTCAATCATGGTATGGTATGCATTCTATAAAGTTTTCAATAGCATGTTTGAACAAAATTTATCATGTTATGAATAGTTTTTTTGTTAACTTGATTTTGCTGTGGGATGCATGCTCACAGGTTTTGGTTGAGAGCCATGGTGAGAAAGATGGTGCAAATGATGGAGCTGTGGTTGATTTCCGGGGAAATCCGGTGGACAAGTCGAAAACCGGTGGATGGTTTGGTGCAGGGCTCATCTTAGGTGCGTTTAGGATTCGAATTCTGAAGTTTAAAAAGTGTGGTTTACTTTGATATATACCATATTTCTTCTTTTGCTAATTTTGGTGCAGGATCTGAGCTCTCTGAGAGGATATGCGTGATGGGCATATCAATGAACTTGGTGACATACCTAGTAGGAGATTTACATATCTCAGCAGCAAAATCTGCAACCATTGTTACCAACTTCATGGGCACTCTCAATCTGCTCGGTCTCCTTGGAGGGTTCTTAGCTGATGCCAAACTCGGCCGATACTTGACCGTCGCACTCTCGGCTTCCATAACTGCTCTGGTGAGTTTCTCTTACAGATAACAAGAAATAACAAAGTTGATATCTTGACATGTGGCCCTTGAATCAGGGAGTGATTCTATTAACACTGGCTACAACAATTCCCAGCATGAGGCCTCCTTACTGTGATGACTACAGAAGGCAGCATCATGAGTGCATCGAGGCAAACGGCCGGCAACTTGTTTTGCTGTATGTGGCACTATACACGACAGCACTTGGTGGTGGGGGAATAAAGTCTAATGTATCCGGTTTCGGCTCCGATCAGTTTGATGTGACAGATCCCAAGGAGGAGAAGGCCATGATATTTTTCTTCAACAGGTTCTATTTCGGCATCAGCATTGGGTCTTTGTTTGCTGTGATTGTGCTGGTGTATGTTCAAGACAATGTAGGAAGAGGGTGGGGATACGGAATCTCGGCGGGAACGATGGTGATTGCGGTGGCGGTTTTGCTCTGTGGAACACCGTGGTACAGGTTCAAAAAGCCTCAGGGGAGCCCTTTAACTGTCATATGGAGGGTTCTATTCTTGGCCTTGAAGAAAAGAAATCAGCCTTATCCTCCCCACCCGAGCCTTTTGAATGATTACGAAAACCTAAAGGTTCCCTACACCCGAAGATTCAAGTAAGTCTTGTTGGACATAGTTTTCATGGCAAACTCTGTGCTCTTTCTTGCTTGTTAAGTAACCAGATTTCATTTCAATGTGCTTGCGATGAACGACTAGGTGTCTCGACAAGGCCGCAATCCTAGACGACAATTGTGCCCCCAACATGCAGAAAAACAACTCATGGATGGTCTCGACCGTGACACAAGTTGAGGAGGTAAAAATGGTCATAAAACTACTCCCTATTTGGTCCACATGTATACTCTTCTGGACCATCTACTCCCAGATGACTACTTTCACAGTCGAGCAAGCCACCATCATGCACCGAACAGTTGGTTCTTTTGTAATCCCGGCAGGTTCTTTCTCTGCTTTACTCATCATCAGCATCCTCCTCTTCACTTCCCTAAACGAAAAAGTCTTCGTTCCCTTGGCTCGAAAGATCACCCATAATCACCAAGGAATCACAAGCCTGCAGAGGATTGGAATTGGACTAGTTTTGTCAACAGCTGCCATGGTGGGGGCTGCAATTGTTGAGAAACAGAGAAGGGAAGTTGCTGTTAACAAAGGAGTCAAAATAAGTGCCTTTTGGCTACTTGTTCAGTTCTTCCTCGTCGGTGCCGGAGAAGCTTTTGCTTATGTCGGACAGCTCGAGTTCTTCATTCGAGAGGCACCGGACCGTATGAAATCCATGAGCACAGGGCTTTTCCTGAGCACCATTTCGATGGGATTCTTCGTGAGCAGTTTGCTAGTGTCGATCGTCGACCATGTAACCAAAAGGAGCTGGCTTAGGAACAATCTGAACAAAGGAAAGCTAAACAACTTCTATTGGTTACTTGCAGTGTTGGGGTTGTTAAATTTCTTGGTTTTTCTGATATTTACATCAAGACACCAGTACAAGATGCAGCTACCGATTAAGCCCGAGTCCGGAGAGAAGGAACTTAAGAGCTTGAACGATGAAATGATCGAAGACTCGGAGAAGAAAGCAAGTATTCAGGCAGTGGGAGATGTAGAGCCATAGCGTGTATGTGTATGTTGAAGAGGGATTGTATGAATGGTTAGACAATATAGTACTGTTGCTATTTGAGCTTTGTTAAAAGCAAGAGAATCATATCTGTGTCGTGTGTAATTGTAAGGTGATTATTCAATTATTCTTTCTTCTGCCTGTGCAACATTATGGGAAGATGTTCATTATCTTGCTTGATAAAGATGTGTTTAATTATCAAAAGTAATTATTCCAGTTTTAGGGATCGATCAAAAGGGTAGTGGACGTAGACGGTCGCCCCTCAAATTTTAAAATTTTTTCTTTGTATTTTCTATTAATAATATATTTTCACTTATTAAAATTTTATAAAATCCTACATACTTTTCTGTCCAGCTTTATCTAGAACTGTAAAACAGAAGATCATTGCATTTAAATGCCTACAAATCTATAAAGAAGCAGCTTGCTTATGAATGTAAAAGGATTCCAGTTCACAACCAGTTATGAGATATTAACGCGGTTTTATACAAGGGTACAAACCTTACAAATTCAAACGTGTGAAGATAAATCATTAATATAAAATATAGGATAACAATTTATTATACGGTATAAGTTTTTTAGTTTTTATATAAATTATGATTTTTGAAGAGTGAAAATAGAAGATTCAGATCAATAGTAGAAAACGATAATATATTCACTAGGAAAAAAAGAAAGTTAATTTTATGCCTTTATTTCTATTTATCAAACAGTTATAAATTTATGTAAAATAAAAAATAATTTACATTATATAAATAAATTTTAACCTATAAAATATAAATAAAATATCTAAATTGTATAAAAAATTAAAAAATTTAATAAACGTAACACACAACATCTCTAGGTTTATCTTTGAGGCCAGAAACAATAGCAACCAAGAGTGAATATTTGATATCAATCATTAAATTAAATTTTATAAATATAATTTTAGTATAATGTTTTCGTTCACCCACGTTGAATATTAAAAAGATGTAAATTAAAAATGTATTCCTAAACTACTTTATATTTAAAAAAAAGAAATTATAATTAGTATTATTTAAAGTACATGAGTTAAAATAAAAATTAAAATGTTTTTTAACAAGTTATATTATCGAACTAACGATGCACAATGTTCTAATGACCAAAATTTAATAATTTTAAAATTTAGTGAAAAATATAAATATAAATATAAATATAAATATAAATATAAATATAAAAGATAAGTTATAATTTCCATAGTTCACCTAATTTTTTTAATGGAAAAACGTAAAACATAGGCGATTTTCCCAAAAAAATCATCTTATGCGTCTTTATTTTCTTGTCAGGCACCGTTTAGACTATATTTTTCGATCTAACACCCTTTGTAGGAAAACGCGTCCCCTGCACCGCGCTTTACGCTGATCTGGCGCTATGTGGGTAAGGCGCCCCCTACAACGAGCCTTGTTAAAAGTGTAAAAAATTTGGGTGTTAATTTTGTAAATATTTTTAAACTGTGCCTAATATGTAATTAATTTCTGTTAAGGTGATATTTGTGTAAAAATGCTAACTTTATATATTTTTTTGTGATATTATTTTTAACAACAGTTAATAATGTTTATTGACTTTTAAAATTAATTATTTAAAAATATTAAAATAAATTTTTAATTACAATTGAGAGATCAAATGAATTATTATTATTTTTTAGAAATAAATAAAAATAAATTAAAAATGAATAAAATTCAATAAAAATATAATGTAATGCTAAAAAATATCACCTCTTTTTTTAAAATATTCTTTCTAATATTAATTTTAAAAAATATAAAATATAAAATAAATATTAAATTTTAATTTTAATTTTAATTTTATTAAAAATGAATAAATATTATTAATTGTTGTTAAAAAAATAATTAATTTAATCCTTCAATTGTAATTAAAAGTTTATTTTAGTCAAGTTTATAATTGTTAAACAGTCGTAAGTGCAAAAAGCTACATGAATCGAATGAAAATTCGATCGTACAAAGTCAACAACTCAAAATTGTCTAACTGTTGTCTAAATATCAACTAAATTGTACCACGAATAAATATCCGATCAAAGAGTTGATATTTTCTGCTCAATCTTCACAAAAATTGTTTTGTCTCATCATTTTCTCATGCGTATGAACTCCTTTCTTTTTCAATTCTTTTCTATTAAATATAGTTGCCCACGTGTAAACAGAAAAATAAAAAGTAGAGTGACTTTTATTGCAAAAGTCAATTGTAGTTAAAAGTTTATTTTAATATTTTTTTATATTTTTAAATAATTAATTTTAAAAGTCAATAATTTTTTTTAAATATATGAAATTTATAATTTTTTAAATTATAAAATATTTATTATCATAATCATCATCATTTTGTAAAAGAAATACTAGTTATAAAACTTTTATAAAATTATTCATATTTTAAAATACATTTAAATATTCTTTTGTAAATTATTTTATAACTCGGCAAAATTTGTTTTTTTGCATGAAATTACACAATACATATATTCTTTTGCATGAATGTTATGAAAAGAAAGGAGCTCGTACGCAGGAGAAAATGATGAGACAAAACAGTTTTTGTGAAGATTGAGTAGAAAATATCAACTCTTTGATCGGATGTTTATTCGTGGTACAATTGAGTTGATATTTAAACAGCAGTTAGACAATTTTGAGTTATTGACTTTGTACGATCGATTTTTCATTCGATTCTTATAGCTTTTTACACCTACGACTGTTTAACAATCATAAACTTGACTATAAGTCTTGAGAATAGAGTATTTTAAAATTAATTTTTTTAAAATATAAAAAAATATTAAAATAAACTTTATCGGAAAATAAATGCACATAGGATAATTTATCGGTGTCTGACAGAAAAATAAATGCGTAATGTATAAGGTAATTTATCGGGAAAATCGCCTAAAACATATTCATTACACAGATTTTATTTTCCTTTCGTATGTTATTAATTGGATTTGTTGCGGCGTTATTATTCTTCGCCTTTGCAGTTATATCTTAAAAAGGGCAAAACAATATTCTTCCTTTACTTCTCGTCTAATCCACCGATAAAACAATACAGCAAGAGAGCCAAAATTCACCGGCCCTGAAGTTGCCCTATTCTCGTTTTCCTCCTCCTCACTTCGCTGCCGGTCACACTCACAGATCCAAAGCTTTTATACAGAAGTCAAGTAAAAAGAGGGAAATGAATGAGGTGATGATGGCGGCGGATGCGAGCTCCTTGAGAGGGGCTGGATCGACCTCTTTCGCATCGTCTCCGTCCTCCAATCTGCTTCCTAACAACCTTCCTCTCATCTCGGCCTTCCTCGCCTTCGCTCTGGCTCAGTTCCTCAAAGTCTTCACCAATTGGTTCGTTCATTCTTATTCTCGGTTTTGATTTTTGTTCTTTTGATTCCTAATTTCAAATTATGTTCTCTCAACTGCCGCGATTCGAGAGTCCTTGTTTTATTGTTGTTTGGCGAAAGTTAGGAGATTGTATATTTGAATGTTATGGAATTTGGTTTGAGCTTTGACACGTGCTTTATCTATCAACTGCTCATAAAGGAACCCTAATATATTGGTTAATTTAATGGCCCCTGATTGATGAGAACTTGTTTAGCCCTGTTGGGGAAATCCTTGTTTTGAATAATTTCTGTGATTTCTTCAATTTAATGACTCGTGGGGAGGTTTTGATGATTGATCATTGGCGTTGACTGGTGATATTTACGAATGTGCTGATCTGGTTGCCATTGGAAAAGGGGATCTCCCACGGTATTTTTAGCTGTTTACGGTGCATATTGATTTATTTCCTTTTTTAAAGGAAAGAGAATGGGAATTTGATAGAAATAGCCTAGTCTAGAGTGAAATGCCCCCATTTTTCTTCAAAATTTGCGAGGAACTGTAAAAAAAAGCTTCCTGACATTAAAGTAAGCCTTAATTCTTCCCTTTTCCTTTGTATTATTCTTCATTCTTAAAAAATTTTGAAAAGAAATTTAAATTCCAGGTTGTAAAAATTAAACGGAATCATTGAAAGCATATTTTTGAGTTTCAGTTGATTCTAAATTCTAATCACTGTTGTAATGGTTTGTAAACAGTAGCTCAAACATTTGAACTTGTTTCTCCTAGATACTCAGGTTTAAAGAAAGGAGATGGGATTCTAAGAGGATGATTGGTTCAGGTGGTATGCCGTCGTCACACTCTGCAACTGTGACAGCTCTTGCAGTTGCTACAGGTTTACAGGATGGGACGGGAGGATCAGCTTTTGCAATTGCAGTTGTCTTGGCATGTGTTGTATGTGCTTCCTAACTATTCATTTCCTTGTGACATTCTTGTGTATGACATTTATCAGAATAAAGCCTTTCTAATTTTGAAAAATAGTTAATGAAGGTAACCAGAGAAAATGTCCCTCTCTCTGGAACCTCTTCACTCCTGCTGGCATGGGAATGCTGCAGACGAGTCCTGCTGCTGCTGGCAATCCCTCCTTTCAATTTTCTTTTCTCCTGCATTCCTTTTCCCTCTTGCCTATGACATGGCTATAGACCTGACCGCCACTGCCAGCCTTAAACAATGTTGATCTCTATGGTTTTTTTTTTTTTTTTTATCTTAAAGAAGCTGGCAGTGAAGACAGCTCTGGTTAAGAGAGGTGTTCAGGGCATAAATGATTCTATGTGTCCTTTTTGTAATCTAGAAGAAGAGTCTTCATCTCATCTATTTTTTTCCTGTTCGGTTGTTTGGCCAATATGGACTAAATTCATGGGTTATTGGAATTTTCAGTCTGTTTTTCATGAAGATGCAAAAAAATTCCTAGTAGCATGGACTAACTTAAAGACCAACTCTCTGATGTGGTCATTTATCCCTGGAGTGGTCTTATGGACAATATGGAAAACTAGGAATTATACAGTGTTTGAAGGAGGGAAGTTTGATCGAGCATAAATATTCTATCTAGCTAGGTGCAGGCTTGCTTCATGGTTTCTAGCTAGGGAAACTCAGATTTCTATTTCCAAGGATGCTCTTATTGCCGACCCGTCCTTAGTGGATTCTTGCTCGTCTCATACTAATCGGATTTCAACTAAGGTTCCTTGGTCCCCTCCTCCAAAGGGTTTTATTAAACTTAATGTGGATGCGGCTACTTCTAGTGATTGGAAGAGGAGTGGTTTAGGTGGTGTTCTGAAAGATAGTTCTGGTTCGATTCTTGGCTCCTTCAAAGACCCTGCTGGTCCGGGACCTCCAACTTTGATGGAATTGAAAGCTATCCTAAAGGGGTTATTTTATTATGAATCTATTCGCCACATATTTAAAGAGAGATTGATTATCGAGAGTGATAGTAAGGTGGCAATTGGTTGGGTCAAGGATGTTGGTTCTTGTCCTGTCGTTTATGTTCAAGTTGTTAAGGAAATTATTCAAAAGCTTAGTGTTTATGAAGGTCTTATTAGATGGGTTAGTAGAACAACCAATATAGAGGCGGATGTTCTAGCTAAGGCTGGTATTGGTTGAGTATTATGTTCTGTTAAGGGTTGGTTCTTTTTGGCTTTTTATCTCTGGAGGGAGATTAGACTTTGTATTACTTTGTAATGTTTTAAGATTAATGAACTCCTAGGGCACTCTTTTCCTCCTTCCGCTGATTAAGGAACTATTTTCAAGTTCCGTTAATCATGAAGGGGGTTTTTAGTGAGGCCTACTATTCCTATAAAAAAAAAATCTCTATGGTTTTTTATTGTTCTTTAAGGGAATGTTTGCTACACTCTCTTTCTTTCCCGGAACAAACATTCTCCTAGCAATTCTGCGTTCTGATTAATTACAATATGTATCCCCAGTCTTCTTGACATCAGTAATTTTTATTGATGCACTTTTGTGGTATTTATTTATTTGTAACAATTTTACTTATTTTTTTATCATCTCTCTGGAAGAGTTTGGTTTGTTGCAACTGCTTCGATTTTATAAGAGATTGGTTTTTGTTGTCCAGATCAAGTTGGGACTGATTCATGATTTATTTGGAAAGTAAATATTTGACAGATATTGCTCTGTAGTAAATTTTTTAATGAAATTGGATAAGACTGAAGTTCAGTGGTTAACTGAATTTCAATATTAAATAGAGATTATAACTTCGGTGGTCAAGTGAGACTTCATCCCAATTACTATAGTTTTCCTTTTGCTGCTTATAATGCTAGGAATTCTTCTTAGTTTTATAGAGTATGCTTTCTATAAAAATGCTTAGGCTATGTCTTGGAGGACAAATATAAATTGCACTATAGGTTTGTAACAAGAGATGAGATTACTCCTACTTTAAGTATTTGCTTCTTGCTTGGATGACTCTATATTCTCTAATAGGACTCTAGATGGGTTGTATTGTTGGGTTCTACCTGGAGACTCACTTTTTAACAGTAGAGAATAAACAACTCTTGACTTAGTGGAAAGATATTTGTGTTGTGTGGCATGAGTGCTAGAGTTTGGTCCAGATCAATCCTTATTCCAATCCCTCAGTTATATAAAGAAAAGAAGATTTGAATTTATGAAGACAACTTGATATTTAGCTTTATGCCATGTAGGGTTAGTTATAAGTACGGTAATTTTCATATGGCCATGTGTTTGGAAGACCAATGTTGCTGTGTTTCAGTCTCTCCTGAAATATGGATGAACCTAATCAGGATCGTTATCAAAATCTTTATGCTGTATCGAAATTGATTCTTCTCTCTCTCTTTGTTTGAGTCCGCAAATTTTTGGTATTAACTTGAAAATAGTTCTCATTGGAAAAGAATTAGCATGCTTATTTGTGTGTGGGGTATGGTTCATAATTTTTCAATTATACAGGTGATGTATGATGCAACAGGTGTCCGACTTCATGCTGGTCGTCAAGCTGAAGTAAGTCCTTTTCTACTTGATATATAGACTCAAAGTTTATTTGTCTTTTTCACCTATATTCTGATGCCCAGATACATTGTTCATATTTTTGTTCTTTCCATATTGCCAGTTGCTGAATCAAATTGTATGTGAGTTTCCTCCTGAACACCCTTTGGCTAGCGTGAGGCCTCTGCGTGAATTACTTGGCCATACTCCACTCCAGGTCTGCTACTCTGTAAACTGCACAAGTAGTTTTTGATAACTATTGCTTTGTTCCAAGTACTGCATGTTACTTTGCTAGTACTTTGCAAAGCATTTGTTTCCAGAATTCCCAGCTTATCAACGTAGTTGACGATTCTTTTATAAATGCCAATCAGTTTGTAAGTCTGACATGACATTGGTATTCCACCCTCAAATGTTCATCGAACTTATAGCGAAATACATATTCAATTCAAAAAACAATAGATAGGAGGAAACAATATCTTGAAGGCTTCAAAAGTTTACTGTGGAAATCCCCCAAAGCAGAATGCGACTGTTCCTCTGCCAAATCATGCAATCTTTCCAGATTGCTGCAACCCTGCTTTCTTCTTTCATTCTTTTTTCTTTTCAAGGGTTATAAGTGAAACTCTGGATGTCTAACTCAATTTTCAATTATGAGCTGCTAAACAATAAGGCTTGCCAATAGAACACAGCCATTTGGTCCCCTATTTTCTCGTTTACTCTATACATACACAGTAGAATGCTGCCTGCTTATTACTTCATTAGTTCTCCCCAAAACATTAAGGCTTTGCATGGGGCAAGATATCACTATGTAAGCCCGGAGAAGCACTTATAGTTTGGGAGATCAGTGTGACGTTCAAGTTTTTCCGTGTAATGGAGACTAATAGATTAATATCAGCTTTCATTCACATAATTAAGATGGGATTCAGCATGATAACATCTAGTGAGATGCAAGTGTTGTAATAACTGATTTATGTGATTATATGGTGCAGGTTGTGGCAGGTGCATTATTGGGATTCATAGTGGCTTTTCTAATGCGAAATTCTGGTTAGGTAAACAAGCATTGATTCATTTGCCTTTCCAGTATCAAAAACTTTTCTATTGATGAAACCCTTATAATTTGAAGGAGGCTTTTAGATGATCAAAATAGGAAGTGGTTTATGTTTATTTGAACTTCATCTTCTTATATACTATCACTCTAATAGCTTTGTCAACTCCTGTACTTGAATGATGCAAATATGATGCCACTTATTGTCCTTTGAATGAATTTGAAATATTTAGTCATAAATTAATAACCTCTTGCATTCGGAAGCTATGCTATTTTGATTGTAAGTAAAATTTTGATTTATCTATATGCATCGAGCCCTATTATTTGGTCGAGTGGTCAAGGTCGTGTCTTATTTAATTAATTCTATTATCAATTTTTTATGATATATATATATATCAGTTACTATTAATTAATGCATAATATTTTTACTTATATATTAAAATTATTTCTTAGTACATTTATCTCTGTTATTAATTGTTTGTAAAAAAGTATCATATATATATATATATATATAATGTTATATATGCATCATATACTATTGATTCATAACATTTATCTTTAAAATTAATTAAATAAGACACTATCAATCATTTACTAAACATCTAACATTTTTACTAATAGTTTTATTCAATAAAAGTTTCAATGTCTTATATAAATAAGTCAAAAATTAATTATGAGTTATGTGTTTATAGAAAAAAAATTATCTAAAACTTGCAAGTTGATGAATTAACTTATTAAATAGCATATATCAAAGCTTAAAATTTTAATTACACTTAGTATCATAATAGTTATGGTATATAAACAATAAACTTTTTATATGCTATCAATCATGTACTATTATAACATATTTAATACTCACTCCGTCGTATAATTTGTGTTGTATAATGATTATGCATATAGTTTTAAGAGATATATTTAACTAAGAGAAATGATAAAGTTATCCATAAAAATGATTAATAGATTTGATAGATTTACTTTTAGATGTATAAAAGAGTGAGATAAACAAGTGTAGAAAAGAAATTATAAATGTTGTTGTTTGTTGACTTTTCAATAAAGCATTATGAATAAGATAATTTTAAGAACTAAAAGAGACATATTTGAGTCCGAGAGAGTTCAACTTTATTAGTTGCCTTCATATTAGTAATCATTCGTTATTGTTTATCATGTATTATTATTTAATAATTACTTATCTTTTAAGTAATTAAATTTACAATATATTAGGAATAAATCGTGATTAAGGTTCAAATCATCGAACTATTGATACTATCAAGTCAGGGACCAATATTAAGCAGCTTAAAAATTTCAGTGGCATTGTAATTAGATAATAACAATTTGATGATGTGATACACTGATAGTGCATGACCGTACGCGGTAATCCATCTTAACTTGCGCGGCCCAAAAAAAAATATAAATAAAAATCGTAATCACTTTTCAATTGTCTTGCAAGATTATGATTCATAACAGACGGATATAAGATAAAATTTAAAAGGAATAAAAATAAATTATCAATAAAAAATATATAAATTATATTCAAATTTAAAATTTTTAAGATACAATTATTTTCATCAACTTTTTGATTTATATCTAATTTATGACTTCTTGATAAAAATGACAGTTTCAGGAGGTTCCATGGAAAACAAAGGTATACTTGTAACAAATCATAAGAATTAAATAGGTTTGCCTATATTAGACTGCAAATGATTCGAGTCGAGTTCGAGTATTACTGAGTTCGACTCAAAAAATGTAAAATCGAGTTCGGCTCGAAAAGTATAATCAAGTTTGACTCGATTCGAGAACTCACGAGCTTAAAATTTTCAAATTTGACTCGAACTAAAAAAATTTGAATTCGAAATATTTTTAAACTTAACTCGATTGAAGTTCAAACTCGATATTTGGCGACCCCTTCTTCTCTCCACCCTTTTTGTCGAGCTCTGGATTCCCGCATTGCTGTCAATTTCTTCTGAGCTGCCAGTGCTACTTCAACTTTCTCCATTGCTTCTTCACATGTTTCCATACCTGAACATGCTCTTGTCCGCTTCCTTTTGGTACTGCGATGCTATCTTCTTAGCCTCGAGTAACGTTGCTGACTTTCCAATGCTTCAGCTTCTCTTAGCTTCAGTCCTGTCAAAAGTTCAGCAGAGTTCTTTTCGACGACCTCACTCGTTTCTGGATCATGCTTTGCACAATCTGCAGAGTATTTGAATTCAATCTTCAATACATTAACTGACTGAAACAATATTGTAAATGAGGAAATCACGGTATATAAGGCATAAATCTCTCTCATCTCTTCTGTCACTATTAATGAATGCCTGTTAGGCAGGCAAATATGTGAAGAAAGCTAACTTACGATGGCTCTAAATATTACATGTTTATGCTCAAGCTTAACCAAAAATCATCATTCTTTTCTTTGAATTAAGTTAACTAGTTCCATATTCAAATTAATATACCCATGAAATGAAATCCATTAATTAACGGAATGATAAAGATACTCATATTATCTCATCTTATGTTGGTTTCAATATCGACTTTGTCTTCTTCAAAATATATTCCCTCTCCACTTAACCAATATACATTTCTAAGTTTCAACTTCCAACAATTAGCTGTACGATAACAACCTTAAGAAAATAACGTAAAAAATGTTAAACAGTTATTTTAACCCCAATTTTTTTTTTTGAAGTTTCTAAAATTAGCAAGTGATATTAGTCGATCGAGTATCATTTTCATCAAGCCTTTAATTAATAAGTAGTTGCAAAATGAGTGTGCGAAAGCAAAGCATGTTAGGTGTAGCAGCGGTTGTTATATCTTCATCGTCCTCCATAATCTTCTCGAGGAATATTCTCTCCAAGTCTTCTCCTTCCTTCCATCTTTCACGCACTCTCGCTCCTTCTTCTCCCCGCTTCTCAATCCGATCAATGGCCGATTCTGCTTTCAGGAAAGTTCAGATTCAGAGAGATGACACTGTCAGTTCAACTTCTCCTTTCCTCTTCGTTTTAACAGTTACAAAAATATGAATTCTTTTCTTTTTTGTGATTTTGATTGTTGGGTATTCACCGTCTTTTCTGAAATGTTAGTGATCGAGTTGTATGAGACTTGGGTTAAGAATTTAGTAACTGAAAATGATTTTCTCCCTTTATTGTTTTTTTTAAAAACATGGCTATATTTTAATATAATCATGTTACAATTATCATGGGTTTCCATTTTGTGATGATTTTGATCGTTGGGTTATTTTCTATATTTGCTTGATTCCAAAACAGAATGCATAGTTTTATTTTAATGTTGTCTAATCCTTTTACTAACACCGGTAGTTTTAGTTATTTGTTCAGTTTCAGTCGATAATATCATAGCCAAGTTTGATTTGGTTTATGCAAACTTTTATTTATTTATTTATTTTAAATGCACTTATCAGGCATTTGATGCATATGTGGTTGGCAAAGAAGATGCACCTGGAATTGTTGTTCTTCAGGAGTGGTGGGGTGTGGATTATGAGATCAAAAACCATGCTGTGAAGATTTCTCAACTTGGCTCAGGTTTCAAAGCTCTTATTCCGGAGTATGCATTCATTCTCCAGTTGTTCTTTTATTCTATATATATATATATATATTTTCTTTTCTCGCGATTCTCATAAACTCGGTGTTTACTGCATTTGAATGCTAATTCATTTAAAATTTCTCGACTTGCTTCAGTTTGTATCGAGGAAAGGTTGGTCTGGATGTTGCTGAAGCTCAACACCTAATGGTTGGTCTTGACTGGAAGGGTGCTGTAAAGGATATCCGTGCTTCAGTTAACTGGCTTAAAGCTAATGGCTCAAAGAAGGTATGTTCTGGCTGCTTATCGTCTTTCTTGTCAAAGCCCAATGCTTACTTAAAACATGTTTGATGTTTATACACTTCATTGTATTGTCTGCTCCGCTAACTTATTTGACCGAGATAAGTCGAAACAGATATATGATGCTGATTTATATTTAGTATTCTTCTTTTGTTTGGATGGAACTTGAGAGAATATAAAATAGTTATGGGTTCATACATTTTTCTGAAAGTGATTCAAGAGATATAAATATTGATGCTTCCTTTTTGGTCTTTAAAAAACATTGAATATGGTGGATTGATGTTTTCATATTTTCTGTTTAGCTCAATTATTTCCTTTTCACTTTTGTTAAATCCGACAATAAAAGTACAACAATTTCGTCTCCGATGCGTTAACTTCTCAATCAATCTGTTTTATCAACTTAAATGTAGCGGGACATTAGAATTATTATCTCTGGTTTCTTTATTATTAGAATTATTATTTCTGTGCTGCTTTATTTGAACCAAGTTTTGGGTGAAGTTTAAAACATTGCTCAGTGAGCAATCTCTGATTTAGTTGCATTACAACAGGCTGGAGTGACTGGGTTTTGCATGGGGGGTGCTCTCTCTATTGCAAGTTCTGTTTTAGTTCCTGAAGTCGATGCTGTTGTTGCCTTTTATGGGGTTCCTTCATTTGAACTTGCAGACCCTGCCCAGGCCAAGGCCCCTGTTCAAGCTCATTTTGGAGAACTTGACAACTTTGTTGGGTTTTCAGATGTGGCGGTATGACAAAACTTCCTTGTTTCCTAAGTTTTAAATGTATTCATTCGTTTCCAATCATATCTTGAAATGAGTATTTGAAGTTTCTACATTATAAATGCCTCCTTGCAGGCCACATTTACAGTTAGCTGCAAATCTTTGTAGAAAGGCCAAATACGTTCATGAGAAAATGAAGAGTCGGGATAACCTAGCAATTATTGAGGAAGTTTTTAAAATTGACCAGGGAACCTATCACCGTGGCTTACTTCATTTAGCTTTCGAAAACCTTAGTTACATATAAAACATGGCTAATGGTTGATAGAAAAAATGAAAAATAAAATGGACTTTTTAACCACAGAAATGGTTCATTCTTTAATTTATGTTTGGTTACATATAAACCTTAGTTACTTCATTTGCTGATGTAATGATCAGAGTACTAAGACTTCGTTAGGTCTGTGTTTTTCCCATTTCTATTCTGTTTTACCAAGCATGTGCTGTCTAGTTCGTATGATATTATAAGGTAACTCGTAGAAAATAATGCTTGGTGAACTTTTTTTTCACTTGTCTTTTTGCATATTTTACTTCTAAGGTCCGGATGCAGTGTTTGATTTTCTGCTGTAAAAGTTGAAAAGCAAACGGTCAATGCAATAAAACAATATAGTGATTTCATCGATAGAAGTACCGCTGAAAATTAAGTTTTGAATTGTCGAGTTTTCAGGCTGCAAAGGCGTTGGAGGAAAAACTGAAAGCATCAGGAACTCAATATGAGGTACATATTTATCCACGCAATGCGCATGCGTTCATGAACAGGTCCCCCGAAGGTATAAAGCGGAGGAAGGACATGGCAATGGACGATGAGGATGAAGATGCAGTCCAGCTCGCATGGTCTCGTTCCGAGTCATGGATGGCTCGTTTCTTGTCGTCGTAACTTCATCATGGTGTGCTCTTCTTGTTGATCGAATAAGTACGAAACTGTCTAGAACTAATATAATACCATACGTTGTGAGAGGCTTGTTTGAACGATAACTTTGGAATTCTGGGTTCCTTTGCTAATCTCAACTTTCGGCCTTCTTTTTCGTTCTTCTGATTTGTCATTTGTATAAAGTACTTTTTATACAAAATTACATTAAATACTTACAAAATTATGATCCATGCGTTTGAATTAATAAAAAAACATGGTTATTATAGTGCTTATTATCATTTTATTAATAAAACTATAGAGCAACATATTTTTAATAATTTCATAAATAAAAAAATAATTTTAAGTCTATTATTTTAACTAATCATTTGTTTCTTTCTTTTCTATGATGTTAATTATACATAGGTTAAAATACACAAATGGTCCCCCGACTATAGGATATTGCTTTGTTGAGTCTCATAACTATGAAAAGTTATAAAATAGTTTCTCGACTATAGGGAGTTGCTTTGTTGGGTCCCTCAACTATTAAAAGTTACAAATGGTCACCCGACTATTCATTATGTTCCAAACTCATCATTTTTCATTAAAAAAATTAACGACCGTCTAAATTGGATGTTAACATGCTAACTGAGATATGATAGTCGTTTGAGATTATAAAATCAGATTTTATCATATCTCAATTAGTATGTTAATGTTCAAATTAGATTGTCGTTAATTTTTTAACGGTCAATGACGAGTTTAGAACATAATGAATAATCGGATGACCATTTGTAACTTTTAATAGTCGAGTGACTCAACAAAGTAACTCCTATAGTCAGGAGACCATTTCGTAACTTTTTACAGTCAGGAGACTCAACAAAGTAATATCCTATAGTCTGGATCATTTACGTACTTTACCCTTATATGTAATATATATATATTGTGTACAAAATAACATTTATTTAAAAGATTTTTAATTTTTTTTGATAATGAATATTCAAACGTTCCTATGATGTGCTCAAATTAATGATATTAGAAGATAATAACCATCACAGTATCACCGTATATAGTTTAATTCATGGTATTAATTATATTTAAATTCTCACCACTGCACTACAAAAGCGAACCGGGCCCAACTCTTTTTCCACACTCAGTCGACGCGGTTTCACCAAACTATAAACCGCCACGTCACATCATGTCGGGTCTACTGAAAAGCCTAACACATCCACACCGTTGGATAAAAAATGAATTAAATCAGATCTACAGTGAAACGATGATCAACAGTATCCCTTATCCCCTAATACGCATTACAAACTAAGAATCTCTCTTGGCTCCGTCTTTCCTTCTTAGCAGGTAAGTTATTTGTTTTTCTTTTTGATCTTTACATTATCTTTTCGAAAATCACATTCTATTTGATATTTCCTTTCTAAATTTTGTAGTTTCAGAAATTATTATTGAACTGTCTAGTGTTTCTTCTGTCGGATTGTCTGGAAACTGTGGGAAAGGAGGAATTTTGGCAAAAGATTTTCCATCTTACAATCAACTTTTATTTTGCTCTTACGGAATCTGACACAAATTCGGATTTTATAACTTTAAAAGAAAAAAAAAACTTGTATTTGACTCTCTAGAGTTCGGGGTGTAGGTCGATTTGGGCCAAGGAAAGGGAAAATATTAAATCTTGTTTTTGTTGTTGCTTTTTTTTACTTTGGTTTAGAAGTTTTGAAGTTTATGAATTTTTTAAAACTGTTTTTTTTATTATTATGAAAACTGGCTTTCATTATTTTTAATGAAAACTAGCTTATGTTTAAGATTTAATGGTGCATTTAAACAAACACACACACACGTATATATGAAAGCAAAATTATGTATTTTTTCTCAATGACAAGTTCAATTTTTATTTCTTAAATATTAGGCTTTGCTTTTGCATGCAACCTTGTTATCACTCTTTACTTGCAGAAGCAAAATATAGGCATCAAAGGTAACAATCAAGAGCTATAATGAATCACTTGACCTAAATACTTACTGATGATTGATAGGTAAAGTTCACAAGAACGAATTTAGAGATTGAAAGCTTCATTAAGAAAAATCCCACCTTGTATATGTAACATTGCCACTATATAATTAGGATCAAACATTTAAGGAGTTTAAGAACAAATACTTGGACTCTTACCTAAGAAAAATTTTCTCCACAGCTTAGAATATGATTCATCTTGTTTTGTAGCGTTACCTGGGTTTTTTGAGTTATCTTAAAGTCGAAAATGATTTGATTTTCTGCTTTGCAGCTGTCAAAATGGCTATCGAATTCAAAGGCATTCGTGTTACACTTCTTCTGTTGCTGCTTCTGTCTCCTGTAGTATTTTCTGGGCCAAATGATGGGTTGTTTAGAATTGGATTGAAAAAGAAAAAACTGGAACAAATCAACAGGGTTGCTGGACACTTTGACTTTAAGGAAGGGAAATTGTCAAATGATCTTTTACGGAAGTTTAATCTCCAGGGAAATCCTGGGCTATCTGATGACTTTGAAATTGTTGCTCTCAAGAATTACATGGATGCTCAGTACTTTGGAGAGATTGGTGTCGGCACACCTCCACAGACTTTCACTGTGATATTTGATACAGGAAGTTCCAATCTTTGGGTGCCCTCTTCAAAGTGTTACTTCTCTGTAAGTTTCCAAGCCTCACTTTTCTTCATTTGTATGATTTCTGGCGCAGTGTTTTTTAGCATCTTTACTCTGGAAATTTATGTAGAGCAGTTGACTAGAATATATATGGTTTGTTGGTTTTTGTATTTGGATGCAGATTGCTTGTTATGTTCACTCCAAGTACAAGTCCAGTCAGTCTAGTACCTACCGTAAGAATGGTATGTTTCTATGTTTTGTTAGGACTGCAAATAGAGATTATCTGAGATATCCGTACCCAAATCTATTATTCGTTCATTTAAATTTTTATAGAGTTGTTATGCTTACCGAACTTAAACATTTGAGATTGAATTTGGTTATATAAGAAAACCTCTAGTCGTGCTCAAGTAATATATTAAATCAGTGAAGGTGAACATAATTTCTGATTTAGAAGTTTTATCCCGTTTTCTTTCTCTAATTTAATAGAACGTTTCTGAGCTTGTGTATGAGTTCAAATATGAACTGGTTAATCATAATTAAGAATATTAAACCTTGCTAAAAAAACTCTTCCAGATTTGAGTATCTGTTAAGAGTCGGAAGATTTATGCAAAATTGCAAATATTAGAATTATCAAATATTATAATTGTAAGAGTTATTATAATTAACCTGTTAAATGTTGCAATATTTCTAATTCAGCTAGAGCTTTTAGGATTTGGTTTCATGCTTAAGCTTAATAAGGACAGCAGTTCGGATTAAACTTAAAAAACAGTCATAAATTTGATTTAGTAAAATGACATTAAAAGTGTTCAAGTCCACTTGTAACCGTATATTGTATGTGATATTGATTCTTATGCACATAATATCAACTTTAGAGATGATCCTTTTCTCATGATTAAGTCGTGTTCCATAATAATAAAATGGAGTCACAGCTAAAAGAACCCTGCAAGCTGAGTTCCAAAATCATGTGCTTGAATATAATTTTCAGTCTGTCCTTAACCATTATGTAGGCCATCTTTTATGTTAAATCAAGTTAAATAAAAATCAGAAACAAAGTTTTTGTATCCTCGATAGTCAATCCCTGAGCCATCTAACTCATATTAACTCTTAAATTGATGCAGGGACATCTGCTGAGATCCATTATGGAACTGGAGCCATTTCAGGTTTCTTTAGCCAGGATTCTGTCAAAGTTGGTGATCTTGTTGTGAAGAATCAGGTAGCGCAAGTGCTGTTTCACTATTGTAGTATGTAGTTCTGTTAGTGCATGACAGCTTAGGACTCTAGGGTTTATGGTAACTAGAATCTGAAGCTCTTAGGAGAATATTGGCAAATTGAACAAAGAAAAGATAAACTAAGCTTAACACCTAGGATTCTTTGATTGCATCACTGATCACACAACCAAGAAGAAAATAAACCGAAGCATCACACTTAGGGTCCCTAACGTATGCATTATGTCTATAAAATATTATAATTAACCTCATGAATACAGCTTGATTAACAAAATAAAATCTTAAGTAGTCAAAGCCCCCAAATAACTTTATAACTATTTTGCATCATTTTCCCCTTGTTGGAGAAAACTCGACTTTGGGTTTTGAAGTGGTCTGTATCTCAGTCCCGGACACACTAAGGGTAATAAACTCAATAGAACCATAGTTTTAGAATCTGATTTAAAAACAATAAAATCGTTTTGATCTTTACTGAGCAACACCTACAGGAATTTTTCCTTTGATTGGAGCATCACACGTTCAATTCTGATATTTGCCATTCCAACATGTGTAATCGGAACCTCTTCAGGTTTAAAACATTGTTGCTTCAATTCTCCAAGTTGACACTTCGCTCCCCCTCCTCAATGCTTGATTCTAATGCCATCTTGCATTTCTTCCTCAAGACTACAAATATGCTAAAAAATAAAATAAAAAACTCGATGGTGTCCAACAAAGCAAACAACAATTATTTAAATAGGGAAATTTATAACGGATTCCTAAGCAAAATGGATACCAAAGTGGAGAATGTGCGGGAAAACATGCTGCATGTGAAACTATTGGGGAAATGCTGTGATATTAGGGATGAAAAAAATGACTCGACATGGTTAAGTGGCTATTGCTCTATTTATTGGGGTAATCTTGTTACATGTAGCAGAAAAAAAGTAGTATGTGGTTTCAAGTAGTGCAGAGGTTGAGTATTGAGCACTTGATCCAGGAATTTGTGAAGGAATGTGGATTCAGAGATGGTTAAAGGAATTAAAGGTTAACTGTAAGGATTATTTCAAGGTGCAAAGTGACAATCAATCAACCAGAAGTATTGTAAAAAATCCTGTTTATCATGACATGACAAAGCATGTGGAGATCAACATACATTTTATTTTAGAGAAAGTTAACAATGGGATTGTTGAACGTAGCTACATTTCTACTCAACTGCAGCTTGCGGGCATTCTTACCAAACCCCTTCCAAAAACTAGCTTTGATGGATTCAAGTCCAAACTGAGGTTGT